AAATGTAAACCAAAGTGAATTTAGTTGAGTAATATGTATTCAATTCCCTAGCAACCAGGATAAGAGGGGTATTTGGCACTTAAAAATAGTTTATTTAATACTGAAGTCCAGTTGGCCAGTTTCGTTCAGTTGTGATGTACAAAGTGATGCATTTATCACAGGTACTGCATCTAGGAAATCTTGTTGAAGCCCAGAACTGGCATAGGGTGTAGAGAAAGTAGGCTACAGTATTTTGATTATGGTTTCCAAATATAAAAGAATATTTTGAACCCCGTAAACTGCACCAGATACAAACATTAAAAAGCAGATACGTGATAGCCATAGGCTCCAGCTCCATCAGGTTATCCTCAGAAGTTGTGACATCTCAGAATAATGCCTTGTGCATCATGACAGATTTTTTGTATTGCAATAGCACCTAGGCACTGTTCAAACACAGAACACAGTCCCTGCCCTAGTTTACAAGTTAAAGTTTCATCTGTACCGCAGCCATTTCAAATCTGGGGACAACTTACACCTTCAAGTCAGTGCCACTGCTATGGGAACCCGCATGGTCCCACACTATGCCAACATTTTTATGGCTGACTTTGAACAACGCTTCCTCAGCTCTCGTTCCCTAGCGCCCCTCCTCTACTTGCGCTACATTGATGACATCTTCATCATATGGACCCACAGAAGGAGGCCCTTGAATTCCACCAAGATTTCAACAATTTCCATCCCACCATCAACCTCAGCCTGGACCAGTCCACACAAGAGATCCATTTCCTGGACACTACAGTGCAAATAAGTGACGGTCACATAAACACCACCCTATACTGGAAACCTACTGACAGCTATACTTATCTACATGCCTCCAGCTTCCATCCAGGACACATCACACGATCCATTGTCTACAGCCAAGCCCTAAGATACAATCGAATTTGCTCCAATCCCTCAGACAGAGACAAACACCTACAAGATCTTTATCAAGCGTTCTTACAACTACAATATCCACCTGGGGAATTGAGGGAACAGATTGACACAGCGAGATGGGTATCCAGAAGTCACCTACTACAGGACAGGCCCAACAAGGAAAATAACAGAACACCACTGGCCATCACATACAGCCCCCAGCTAAAACCTCTCCAGCACACCAACGATCTACAACCTATCCTGGAAAACGATCCCTCACTCACAGACTTTGGGAAGCAGGTCAGTTCTGCTTACAGACAGCCCCCCAACCTGAAGCAAATACTCACCAGCAACTACACACCACACCACAGAAACACTAACCCAGGAACCAATCCCTGTAGCAAACTTCATTGTCTACTCTGTCCCCATATCTACTCTAGTGACATTGTGTGGACAGAGGTCTCAACCACATCAGCCACACCATCAGGGATAACATTTCACAAATCCCCTTTCTTCCCAAAGCATTATATGCATTATGGGCCTACTAATGCAAGAGCAAAGCTCCCATTGAAAGCAGGGTGCTCAGCAATTCACAAGACCAAGTTCAATTATAGGTACAGAATCTCTGGACTGCTGCAGCCTCTGGAGTGGAGGGTGGCAGCCAAATGGTACACAGGATGCTTCACAGCAGTGTTTGGAAGGGAAATTCTGTGCAGTGACAGTGGGACAAACCTCCGTACTTCCAAAACACAACACAGGTAGAGCTGGTTGGTAATTTTTCAGTGGAACGGTTTTGTCAGAAAATGTCAAGTAGGAAAGGGTCAGTTTTAACAAAACTTTTGTCAGGAAGGTTTCACGAGTCCAGGATGGATTTTTCACATAGATACAGAACCCCAGAATAGCCAGTAACCCAGTGGTTAGGGAACTCACCTGAGATGTGGGAGAGACCCAGTTCAAATCCCTGCTCTGCCTGATTCAGACCAGGGACTTGAACCCAGGTTTCCCACATCCCAGGTGAGTGCCTGAACAGGCAGACTATTGTCTATACTGGGGTCTCACTCTGTTTTTTTTTTTGCAAAACATTTTGAAAGGTCTTGTTTCATCCGAATGTGGAGGAAAATTTTTGAAACCTCAAATTTTCATGGGCTGGGACAACTATTCCCCACCCAACAGTAATCACAGGCTGCACTATTTACACATAGATAACAGAACTTTGTTTTTAAGTCTTATATGAAAAATTCACATGTATGGAACACAATCTATCTACCTTGAGGATAATGGGCAATGCCAGCCTTGCCTAGATTTGAATTTATCGTTGTTGCATGGAGATTATTCTACACTTGATGTCTAAACCCCGTTCTTTGACGGGGTTACTGGCTTAGTGGATGGGGGAAAGCAGAAGACATGATATATCTTAATTTTAGTAAGGCTTTTGACACAGTACCACATGACAGTCTCTTATGAAAACTAGGGAAATGTGGTTTAGATGAAATTACTAGGACGTGGATGTACAACTGGTTGAAAGACTATACTCAAAGAGTAGTTGTCAATGGCTTACTGTCAAATTCTGAGTGTGTATCTATTGGGGTCCCACAGGGGTCTAGTAGTACTCAATATTTTCATTAATGACTTGAATAATGAATTGGAGAGTATGCTTATAAAATTTGCATTTGACACCAAGCTCGGAGGGTTGCAAGCACTTTGGAGGACAAGATTAGAATTCAAAATGACCTTGACAAACTGGAGAATTGGCCTAAATTCAACCAGATGAATTCAATAAAGACAAGTACTTCACTTAGGAAGGAAAAAAATAAATCCACAATTACAAAATGGGAAATAAGTGGCTAGGTGGTTGTACTGCTCAAAAGGATTTAAGGGTCACGACAGATCACAAACTGAACATGAGTCAATGTGATGCAGCTGCAAACAGGCTATCATCATTCTGGGGTGTATTAACAAGAGTGGCGTATGTAAGACATGGGAGGTAATTGTACCGCTCTACTCAGTACCGGTGACTCCTCCACTGGAGAACTGTATCCAATTCTGGATGCATACTTTAGGAAAGATGTGGACAAATGGGAGAGAGTCCAGGGGAGAGGAATAAAAATATTACATGGTTTAGAAAATCTGACTTATGATAAAAAGGTTTAAAAAGCTGGACATATTTGCTCTTGACAAAAGACTATGTGGGGGACCTGATAACAGTCCTCGAATATGTTAAGGGCTGCTATAAAGAGAACTGATCGTTGTTCATGGACAAGAAGTAATGGGCATAATCCGCAACAAGGGAGGTTTACATCAGAGATGAGAAAAAACCTTCTCTATATAAGGATAGTTAAGCACTGGAACAAGCTTCCAAGAGAGTTTGTGAAATCCCCATCATTGGCGGTTTCTAAGAACAGTTTGGACAAAGACCTGTCAGGGACAGTCTAGGGTTGCTTGGTTCTACCTCAGTGCAGGGGGCCAGACTCGATAACTTTGAAGTGCCTTCCAGCCCTACATTTCTACGATTCTATAAACCACTGACATCCCCTTCAGCACAGCCTGAGGTTCAATTGCTACTCGTTGTACCCTTTTAATTTTTCCATTTGTTTCACTCTGAAGAAAGTGTTTCTGTCATACATTCCTGCTCCTTAATTCCTCTTCGGCTTATATATCCTGAGAATCTTCCATCTGTATGGAGAAACATTAATCAAGCAGCCAGGACCCAAACTCCATCAAACAGGAATTTTACCTTAAATATCACCTGGAAATCAACTGGTATCAAAGTGCTCCTTGTGGCAAATATCGTTTAGGAAGTGAGCAAACACGTTCTGCTCTGAGTTGCAATTTCCAAGTGGTGATAAGGAGTAACTCTATATAGTGTGTACTAGGGTAATCCAACCTGCAAGTGACATAATTGTAGGAAAATTCACATCTAAAAGAAATGGTCATAACCTTATTTGCTACTAACAAGAAAACACATTCTTGGCAACCACTGCTACCTGGAATCCAACAAGTCTCCCAGGTTACAAGCCTTAGCAACAAATGGTGGGCATAGCCATCCACCAAAGGCTCTGAAATAACTGGCCATTTCCTCCATACTACAAGCACTAACAGTGTCATCTCAGTTGATTCTCAGGCAGCTAGCTCTGATCACATCCCTATGTTAAGACACCAGGAAAGGTATCCAACTATTCCCCCATAAGAGACTGACACACACAGCCGGATGTCCTCAGACACTACAATCTCGACATTCTTAACTACCCCTGAATTGAACCTTGTGGAACACTGCATGAGACAGCCCTCAGAATAGAGAAGACATTGCCAGTACTATCTTGTGGTATCACTCAGAAAAAAAGAAAGGAATAGAACCACTCAAGAACAACTCAGTCTACCCTGCTAAGATCCACAAGCAAGTCAGCTGCACTAGCTCAGATCAACAGTACCAGAAAACGGCCGATAGCTCTACCACAGTGGTCCCCAAACTTTTTCTGGCATGTCCCCCCTTACCTGTAATGGAACCTGTCTGCAGCCCCCCTAGGAACAGCCATCAGGTGCCGGGGCGTGGAGCAGGGCTGCGACTGGGAATCGGGGCTGCAGCTGGTGCCGGGCTATTCCTGGAGCCCGAGGCTGCAGGTGGGGGCAGAGCAGGGCTGGGTGATGCTCCCTTGGGCAGGGAGGGAGCATCACCCTCGAGTGCTAGCCTGGGCCCCGCTGAACTCCCTGAACGTTTCTCCGGCCCACACACCAGTTTGGGAACCACTGCTCTAACAGGATTAGTATGGACACCAGAATCTTTGTTCCTTATCAGAAGGTCAGCAATCCCACCCTATCAGTGCAGTCTCCATCCCACACCCAGGCATACAACCAAATTAAGAAGGGTCAAAAAGACACTAGGACTCACATGTGTGTGTAACTTGCGACAACCTTCTTGATAATCTTCATCCAAAAAGATGATCTGAGACAGACAATAACTGGATTGCCAGTGGCAAGAGATGATGTCTTGACAATTGCTTTTTTAAGGGAAGTTGATATCTTGTCCTTCCATAGGAGGGGGCTGACAACAGCTCAATAATAACAACGATGCTAACACTGCTGGAAGGGCTGCACAGGGGTAAAAGAAAACATACCTAGAAGTGCAGTGAGTTTGGGAAGCAGCCCAACTTGGACCATCTTGTTTCTCAGGCCCGTGTCAAAGGAGAGGTTCAGCAGAAGTCGAAGGGTGATATTCAGCAGGTCTTCATGCTCACATGGTACCATTTTCACCAGTTTTTCCACAATATCCATTTCAACCTGTATGAGAAGCATGAGAAGTCACTAAACCCACAACCTACCCAAACCTTTGCTTTTTTTTAGCAACTATTTTTAAAATTATACTTATAAATGAAAGCAAAAGCAAAGCCAATAGTTAAAAGTTACTGCAGTGTCTAAAGTTTGGCCTTTGTGGCTAAAAATTTTCTAGGTCTGGTCTCTGGCTAATTATTTTTTTAAAGGAAGATTGAGCTAATGGACTCAGCCACTTGGAGTATCAGGTGAATTGTGGCGGGGGGGGGAGAAGAGACCTCAATGGGATTGTAGCAGGGATCCACTTGCTGAGTGACTTGCAGGATCCAGGGTCTAATTCAAACACAGATAACCTTGGAGTGATCTCCATTAGAAGTCAGATAGATACCCAACTGAGAGAGACACAAAATTGCTATCCAAGGAGCATGAGCCATTTCCCTACATGTTTGAGAGAGTTCCTAGGCAGGATTTGGTATGTACTCTCGTAATGTCATGCTGCCCTGTATTTTAATTTAACAGAAGAATGAAAGTGATCTTGATAGACATATCACTAAGATTACAGGACATAATCTAAGGACTGAGCAGCAGTATCATTTTCTGATATCACGTTTGCTTTACCAGCCCAAGAAAAGACATCTGATCATTGACTGACAAGTCTTCAGAAAGTTTTTCTCACCATCTTCTAAGCTACATCTGTCTGCCGTTATTGGCCATAAGAAGTGTATGTAGATTAGTTTGAACCCTTTGGGCTCTTACCATATGCATTAGGATTGTGTCTGTAGCCAACCTTTCAGTCAGAAATATGCAGAGAATGAACTCAAAGCAGCAAGAAAACTGTTAGCACCATGCTGGTGATCTTCATAAATGTGCTATATTATCCAAATTATTTGCATTACACTAGATATCTATGAGTCCAAATCGACCAATAACAATTTCTGCCCCATTGCTTTAAATGTAATTAGTAATGATGGCACTCAGATGCCAAGGTGACAAACATGATACAAACACCTAGATAGATTAAATGATCACATCATTAGGAGTTTTGCCCAAGTAAGTAAAACAGGATAAAGCCTGAAACATCTAACTTGGTTCATTTTGTCTCTAAGAGTTATTCAGACACAACTAGAATGAGAGAAAACCTATAAATTTCAGAATCCCATCTCCCTCATCAGTAGCTTCCTCACTGTATGGCAATTTTTTTTTCTAAAGTATTATTTGTGCTATGAAAGAAATGCATGTGAAGATAGCCAAGCTAAGCTGTATGGTCCTTTTTCCAAGGACATGACATTTCTTACCACCCACCCACCCAGGCTTATGGAGAAAGTCTCTGGATTAGGGGCCAGCAGCAGCAACATGAAGCACTTCTGGGCTACATCCTATTACAGTATGGAAGATCCTGCTGGCTTGGGAAGGCAATAGCTCAGTCTAGCAGCCTGCTAAAGTGTAACCACATCTCCTTCCCTGAGACAACAAGAGTTAGAGATAGAATGTCAAAAAGAGGGTCTTGTTGCAGGCTGGTTTTGGGGACCTCCAGATGTTTGGATAAATACCCACACTTTTGGATGCTTATACCAATATTTGCAATTTGTCTCGTTGCCATCATATTGACATGTAATTTTGCTATGGTGACGTTGGCTCCCTACATGATTCTATATGTAGTTTTCTATAGTGGTTCCTGCTGGGGCTTGCATTATGTTTACTGTAGTCCCTTCATAGTACTAAAATCAGGGTTACAAATATTTTTAAAAGGAGTGGGATGCAAGAGGCTTATTTCACTTTCATTGGAATCTCTGACCCAATGAACAACCACCAGAGCATTTCTGTAGATTGCTACAAGACCTACCATGTCATTTTTGTTCTCCATAAAAATGCTAAGTTTCTTCAGGAAAGACACCACCAGAATAAGCAGCTCAAAGTTCTCTCGGTCCAGTGCTTTCACTAGCATGTGTACAATGTTCTTGTTCCTCATCTTCAGCTCTGTACGTGTGTCCTCAGCAAGGTTCAGCAGCAGATAAAGAGCAACTAACATCAAAATCAATCATACCAATAGGTCAAAGATACTGGAACTATGTCAATCTACATTAAACGTTTAGATTGGGATTTTCAAAAGTGTTCAGCACTGACTGTATCCCACTGATTTTAAGCAAGGCTGAAGTTGAATGCTTTGATCCCCATTTAGAATAGAAAGTTAGAATTACAATCCACTTCTATTATGTTATATAGGTTTTGAAAATACAGTTTTATAAAATTAAGCAGTGGAGAATCAGGCCCTACATTTTTGCAGTTATGCCAGTTTTAATAATTATCTATGTTGCTAATAAAAGCTAAGAAGTGTCTGGAAATACGTAATTTTTTAATTTGGCAGTGTTCTCTTCATTTACCTGTCTCCCAATTTTTTCGCAGATCTGCACCTGCCTGCCAGACCTCAACGTGTTTTCTGGCTACTACATGGAGGCACACTGCGTCAGCACTCACACTGCCTGCTTAGAGAGGCCAAGTACTGTAAACATAGTTTTTCCCTGATTGCTGCAGAGCTTGATTTTTAAAAGATGAAAATGTAAGATTATTACAAACACCCGATTTTAAAAAAAAAAATCATTACTTCACTTTTCACAAGAGAACTTAGTGCTGGTGTAAAGCACTAGACTGAGTGTCTTGGAAAAAGAACAATTCTATGCACAGAACAGACATAGTACAGCAGCAATGCAGTACTCCCTGCCAGTGATTCTCAATCCCTAACAAATGAATTATGCATACAGGTGAGAAGCTTGTCAGTCTCCCTGGCTCATTTAATTGCGGGCTTCTGGACTGAGAATACCAACAAAGGGGCCCATTGATAATCCTTGTGGTGGTAGAACTGGGCTAAGAACCATCTAGCGTGTTCTGAAGAGAACTTAAAAGGAACAAGTAGCACTGAAAGGAAATACAATTTGCTTTATATACATATTCAAGTACTAGATCTGCAGCTCGTACAAATAGGCATCTTTATGGATTTCAGTGGAGCTATAATAGTTTGCACCAGCTGATAATCTGGTCCTTGCAAGACTCCAACACCATTCAATGGCAGGAGCAATGTCACCAGCAGTATGCAGTGTTCTGGCAAACGCACATCAATGTTCTCTCTTTGAGATTGGACGACTACTTAAATAATGTTTAAAACATTGCCAAAGAATGCAGATTAAGACTACTAACAAATTAGAAAAATTAAAATAAACATCTTCCACACTAGTTAAAAGTTCTCAGCAAGTCCTGGCCCTCCATGCTGTGACAAGGATCTCCTTGCCTTTTGCTTATGTTTTAGGAGTTCATACCTCGCAGCAGCTGTTCCTGCTTGACAACCAGCCCCTGGTACTTTTTATAGGTTTTCTCATAGTCCTTTTTCAGGGTTTGATTCTCAGGATCTTCATCAAGTAAATAACTGGAGTTAAGGATTGTATAGTAATTCAGCAAAAGACACAGGGAAATTACACAATGGGGACAAATATTAATCAGAGATGTTATTTGATCACCAGCTGGGACTACATAGTCTGTGTAATAATGAATAAGATGTTTCAGAGTTGTAGCCGAGTTAGTCTGTATCAGCAAAAACAATGATGAATAAGAGGTTGCCCATGGGACGTTTCTATTAAAATGTGGTCCACACTATGAATAGGTTTAGGAACAATGGTGTTAAGGATTCTACTAGTAATAAAAATGTCCCATATAAGCCATACTACTGGTAAATTAAAACACTTAGGTTAAAATCATTTTTAAAAATCAAACAATCCCTTCTCCAGCTCAGATTTTTAAAACTTTTGGTTTTCACCTGCCCTAGTCCTGCAACTAGATTTTGCGCACTTTTACTCATCTTCTGTACTGACATGAGTTACTACACATATAGTTTGCTTCAACCACCAGGAATCAGGAAAGCTTAATGTTGCCCAAGCACCGAGAGAGGATATCAGCTTTCTTCTTCTTGATGAGTTCCTCCTGCCAGAGCCCATGTCTCTTCAGCTCATGATCTATGATGTTCATACACAGAGCTCCAATTTTGTAGTGTGTGATTAGGCCATGAAACTGAGAAAAACTATATTAAAAAAAGATATGCAGTGTATGAGTGAAATAAAGCCAAGAATGTGTTCAAAACCGGGGTAGTAAGATTTCATAGTATTGCACAACCTGACTGCTTTTCATTAGAGCTAGTCGAAAAAAATTCAGTGAAACAGTTTTCTATCGGAAAATGCTATTTTGTCAAACTAGAAGCATTTTGTGAGAATGTGTCAATTTTGATGAAAATTTTGATAGGAATAATTCAACTAATTTCATTTTGATATAGAAAATTTTTTTTTATTTTGTCATTTCAATTTATTTTGTTTAGATTTTTAATAATAGTTCATATTTTAAGATGTCTAAAAAACAAAATGAATATCTAAATTAAATGATTTGATGGACATGAACTGAACTTTTTCAAAATTTTCATCCACAGGAAATTGATTTTTTTTTTTTTGTTCTGATTTGGAACACACACACACAAACCTGATAGGTCATAATCTCTCTTGGAACAAAAATTCCATATTTCCAGCCAGCTGTAGATTGTATGTTAAAAAATGGTTCAGCCAGGCCACCCTCACAAAAAAAAAAAAAAAAAAAAACCAGGGGTGGGGGAGGGAAGGTAACAATCCACCTATGTGATAACTTCTTTTTCACCAATATTCTAGATGTAGTGAAGCTGTAACATTACTAACAATTGGATATTTCACATTTCAATTGAATACTTGAGTTCTGAATAGTGTTTTCATTGATGGGGGAGTTATGTGGGAGATAAGGAAGTCACCAAAGAGTCCAGTGGGATAGGGGACAGGACTGGAACTCAAAAACCATGGGTTCTGTGATCCTGGCTCTGCTGAGGCCCATGTCCCCGTGTGTTTCCCCATATGTAGTGACATTTCTCAGTAAAAGTGCTTTCAGATGCAGTTCCAAACTATACTAGAGCAGAAAATAACTAAAAACTCAAAGCAACTGATAGAGCAAGCTCCTCACCTCTGTGTATAAATTCTTGCACTTACCTTGAAAAGCAAAAGAAAATATAAATAATATTAGTAGCAAGTTCCACACTTTGTTTCCAGTCTTCTCTCAGCACTCTGGCTAATGCACCCAGTGCAGTTTCTAAAAAAACAAACAAGATTTAGATGAACGTGTGTAGTGCCTCTTTCTCTCTGACCCGCTTGCGCTAAACAGATTAAACACACCTTTCACTGCATTCTTTCAAGCAGCAGAATCTGCCAATTAGTGCAAGGAGCAGGTGAGGCCATGTAGGCCCCTGCCACCAGAGTGACCTCAGCCTTCAGACACTTTCATGGGGGGAGGGATAGCTCAGTGGTTTAAGCTTTGGCCTGCTAAACCCATGGTTGTGAGTTCAATCCTTGAGGGGGCCATTTAGGGATATGGGGCAAAAATTGGGGATCGGTCCTGCTTTGAGCAGGGAGATGGACTAGATGACCTACTGAGGTCCATCCCAACCCTGATATTCTATGATTCTATGATTAACATGGCCACCATTTGACTGCCTAATGTTTTTTGCGTCCATCTCTCAGACCAGACTAATCCTATTTTATGACATGGGGTGGGCCAGTTGGAGAGGACACACTGGGGCATCAATGGTGAAACAGTTTGGCTGAGGCACCAGAGGAGAGAAGGGATGGCTGGAGAGAGGACAAGGGAAAAAGAGCATCACCACCACAAACCCTTAACTCAGATCTTGCTTTATATAATGTGTTGCTTTACAGAGGGTAAGCTCTTGGGGGGCAAGGAATGCCTTCCTCTATAACTCTCTCTCCATTCTCCTCCTCCCCCCACATACACTGCACCCAGCACATTTTGGGTGCTACGGCACTGTTGAGATATAACCAGTAAATGTATCCTTGCCCTACTTTGCTCTAAGAGCAAACTAATACTAGAACCCCATCCCATCCCAAATGAAAGATGTGGGAGTGGACAGAAAGCTCCACAGATATGGACAAAAACAGCATAACTTTATGAGAGGATTTGGAAGTTACCATTGAGCAGCAATTCTTCCAAATTATCAGGGTTCCTGGCGAGTTGTAAGATAAGGGCAGAGCCACGCACCTTATCAGGAATATCCTCATACAGTAACTCAATGTACTCATCCATGTCATTGATATTGGCTACTTCATCAATCTGAAAGCATCAAAGACATAGCTGGGCTCCGACACAGAGAAAAAGGAACCCACTCAACACGCAGCCAAAAAAAAAAAAAGACGTTACTTTGCAGACAAAACAGGAAAGAGTGTGTAGCTAAGTCTTAAGATGTAAACGATAACAAAAACCAAACACCATGTACAGAACCATTGCTACTGATTGCCCAGAACACACAAGGAGATTTAATTACAAAAACAATTGACGCTAAGTAGCAGCTTCGTCATGTCTAGCCCCATGTTCCGGAATCTCACTCATATGACCCTCTAAGTATATAACTCAAAGACAAATGTGCAAGAATTTTACCACTTATGGAGAGGACTTTTATTTTATTATTTCATATTTTTAAACCAAGGTCTTTAATAAAAAATTCTTCAATATTTTACTCATCGGCTTTGCATCTATATTTTTTCCTTTTAATATAAAACAGTCCTATAAGAGTAAAGGTCTTCATATTTAGCTTCCTTTAAATTCTAGCTTGATTCCTACCTCCATTCCTTCAAAAGGTGGTGGATCCTTCGGTTTACTAGATTTCTCTTTCTTTTCTATAGCGATAAAAGACATGGTTATAATTAATGTTGTGCATATTCATTGACAATAGCATAGTCAGTATTATCCTAGTATCTAGGAGCCCCAAACATAGAACAAAGAGGATCCCCACCCCACAGAGTTTACAATCTAAGTACTGTATATAACAAAGCTCAAGTGTTGTTTTTGCTCAGCTCTGTAGCCAGAGCAAGAAGGAGCCAAGGAGAAAATTTCGCCATGACTTTTTGACACTCAGAATAATGTACTGCAAGTTTCTTTTTAAAAAGTTTGGGGTGTTTTGTTTTTTTTAATGAATCCATCTTTAGAAGCCTAACATTTTTAACTGCATAAGAACTGAAAAATTCAGAGTTAAGCCCCCTTACATATACGTGCCTTGGAACAGAGTATCATCACATGATTACAAGATCATGGATACCCTCACTATAATGTGGGATCGGACCTTCAGGATTAAATTTTCCTCTGTGCAGAGGGCCACCAGAAAGCTTAGGTCAGACTCAGTGACACATACTTACATGACAAATTCTGTTGGTATGTACGACACAAAGGTGGAAAACAATTGCTTTCAGTAAGCTATTTGTCTAATCAGAACTTTGTAGGCCTTGATTCAGCATTTCCTAAGAAGTGTGCATGATGGTAAAGGGTGGAAGTGACTAAACAGTTAAAAGTAAAGCATTCTAGGATTTTTGTTGCTGACAAGAAAAGTTTGTGATGTACAGACATAGTGAAAGTTTCTGACTTTCTCTGGGGAAGGCGTTGAGGCTATGGCTTTGTTCTCATCAAGGCCTGCGTGTAAAGGCTGTTGAACCCTTTTACGGAGCGACGAGCTCTCAAGCATGCAACATATTGGTCCAAAATAGACATCTCTGTGGAGCAGGAAGAGCACTTTTTAAACCCTGTGTTCTGGCTCATGCGGTGGTATGGCAGGAGTGCCTGTGGGTAAGTCCAAAATTCTATACATAAAAAAGCATCCAAACAAACGTTAAAGGTAACTGACAAATGGTAAAACATTGGGCATGGGTCTATTCTGCTTCTTTATGATAAAGGCCTGAAAAGTTTGAGCTTTTTTAGGGGGTGGGAGAAGGTGTTTGTTTGTTTCAAGAAAAGTTAGCTGCTTGTTTGTTTCTTTTTTATCATAGCTAGGGCCTTACCAAATTCATGGTTCATTTTGGTCAATTTCAATTTGGTAGGATTTTTAAAACCTTAAATTTCATGATTTCAGCTATTTAAATATGAAATTTCACAGTGTTGTAATTATAGGGATCCTGAAGGGGGAGGGGAGTCACAAGGTCATTGTAGGGGGGCGGGGAGTTGTTGTACTGCTATCCTTACTTCTGCACCGCTGAAGGCAGAGCTGCCGCCAGCAGCAGCACAGAAGTAAGGATGGCATGGTATGGTATTGCCACCCTCTCCACCCACCCAGCTCTGAAAGCAGCAGTGTAGACTAAGGGTGGCATGGTATGGTATTGCCACCCTTACTTCTGTGCTGCTGTTGACAGGGCACTGCCTTCAGAGCTGGGCACATGGCCAACAGTTGCCACTCTCTGGCCACCCAGCTCTGAAGGCAACACACAAGTAAGGGTGGCAATACTGCAAACCCCTTGCAACTCCCTTTTGGGTCAGGACCCCCAATTTGAGAAACGCTGGTCTCCCCTGTGAAATCTGTATAGTATGGGTAAAAGCACACAAAAGACCAGATTTCACGGTCCGTGACGCGTTTTTCATGGCTGTGAATATGGTAGGGTCCTAATAATAGCATATCATATCTAATGTCAAGTGGCTGGTTTTTTTGCTGACACTCTATTGGAGGAGCCAGAGAAAAGGACTGGGCATTCTCACAAGCCTTAGTTGAAGAGATGGAGTGTTGAATATTTATCCAAAAAAAGCTTTTCTTCCTATTGTTTACTAAATGCCTAGTAATAAGACCAAGAGGAAAACAAGAGAGTTTTAAACAGTCTGAATAAAAAATCAGCTCCTCTCTCAATTAATCAGGTTTTGCTTCCTTTGAATCCATGATGTCATAAAGTACTAATTCTCAGGTCACCCACCTACAGAATTTTCCAGTATATAATGAGTAGACAAGATCTACATTATTAATATATGTAACAGGCAGAAAGGTACCATTTAAAAATAATGTAATTTCAGGTTTTCTTTAGACAGGAATAAGGAAAAAATTATGAACTATCACAGCCCAGTATTTTTGCTTTTGCACTAAGAACTACGCATTCCACTAAAAAGTAGCCACAAAAGAACACAGCAGAAAAGAGTTAAGAAAACCTAACCTATAATTGTGCCTATATAACGAAAGAGCTGGGTTTGCAATCACATAGGAGATTGCTAGGGATTGGAAACTTTTATACCTTCTGTTCCAGAACATGAGTTGGTAGATGTATGCCTGCAAGCCCCTAACAATTAACTGCTTTGAAAAGGAATCCAGGACTGGAGTGGAAATTTCTCCAGGATTTTTGCCTTCTTTGTGTCTTACCAAGAGACAAATCTGAAAATGCTAGAATTCTTTTAACCTTATTAAATCTCGAAGTGCCTCAGGACTGAAGGCCCCTGAACCAGATGTTAAACAGAGGTTTAAATAAAGCTAGGGTGTAACAGTACAGCTCTGTCAGCAGACAAAGTGAGGACTCATAGTACTATAAAGAACCTGTTGGCTCTGCAATTTAACAGGCATTGAACCACAGCTTCCAGATAAAGACATTGGAAAGCATCTATCCTATTAACTGGTTGTAACAGAAAAGAGAAGAAGAGGTTGTAATTTTCATGGAAATAATTCCATCGTCATCTTTACAGCACTATTTGAAATAATCATTTCAGCATTTAGAACAGAAAACTTTAACCGAGACACAAAAATTGAAAGAGAAGCATCAATATTAAGTCTGACTAATCAAAATTCAGAATGTACTTAGATCATCAAAATGACAACTCTTTCCCCACACGATTCTGTCAATTCTTCCAGGTACGGCACAAAACACACACTCCCCTTCCCTCCTCAGGTTTCTGAGTATCAGAGAAAGTAGCATCTGAATTAGAACCCCCAAACTACAGAGTATCGCTATAGCTGCTACATTCCAGCTCCCCATTCACCCTGTTCTCTCTCTCGCTTACCTTTCCCGGAAGAGGCATCTCTGCGGTTCTGCAGGTAGTACAGCAGCTGCTCCACTTCCGCTAGCTTGGAGGGGTGAATGAGCTTGCATTCCTCCACCACCTTTCGAGCCAGGGAAGCAACGTCTGTGTTTGCATTAAGACTCTTCAGCCGAATACTGCAAGACACAGTTCAGATCGTTTTCTCCCCAGTTGATGTAGGATTTTTGTATCTTCAATACTTCGATTTAAACTTTTATAGTCATGAGTTTGTCAAGGCAGAGATGATCTACAGACATCTGATGCTCATGCTACAGTTTGGAACAACCAAGATCAGAAAGCAGTGGCACCCTGGAGTTCAGGACAGCAAGCAACTGTCTGTCAAATAGACTTAAAAGGATAGGACCATTTCTCACCAGCTGATCAAACAACAGCTTTAGAGATGGCTGCATTAGCAAATGCCTAATATCTGGTCAAGACACAGCAGCAAATAAGGAGTCAGTGATCTATTTCCAAAAAAGTTCTCTAAAGGTAACTATCCTTTATTAATATGAAACTCCCAGAGCATAGCATAGAAAAAATACCTGTCAGAAATAAAATCTGCTGTCAGTATTGATTCTGCAAGAGTTTCCTCACACTGCATTACAACCTAAGAACATAAGAATGGCCATACTGGATCAGACCAAAGGTCCATCCAGCCCAGTATCCTGTCTGCTGACAGTGGCCAGCACCAGGTGCCCCAGAGGGAGCAAACCTAACAGGCAATTATCAAGTGATCTCTCTCCTGCCATCCATCTCCACCCTCTGTCAGACAGAGGCTAGGGACACCATTCCTTACCCATCCTGGCTAATAGCCATTAATGGACTTAACCTGCATAAATTTATCTAGTTCTCTTTTAAATCCTGTTATAGTCCTAGCCTTCACAACCTCCTCAGGCAAGGAGTTCCACAGGTTCACTGTGCGCTGAGTGAAGAAGAACTTCCTTTTATTTGTTTTAAACCTGCTGCCCATTAATTTCATTTGGCGGCCCCTAGTTCTTCTATTATGGGAACAAGTAAATAATTTTTCCTTATTCACTTTCTCCACACCACTCATGATTTTATATACCTCCATCATGTCCCCCCCTTAGTCTCCTCTTTTCCAAGCTGAAAAGTCCTAGCCTCTTTAATCTCTCCTCATAAGGAACCTGTTCCAACCCCCTAATCATTTTAGTTGCCCTTCTCTGATCCTCTTCTAATGCCACTATATCTTTTTTGAGATGAGGAGACCACATTTGTATGCAGTATTCAAGATGTGGGCATACCATGGATTTATATAAGGGCAAGAAGATATTCTCCGTCTTATTCTCTATTCCTTTTTTAATGATTCCTAACATACTGTTTGCTTTTTTGACTGCCGCTGCACACTGCGTGGACGTCTTCAGAGAACTATCCACGATGACTCCAAGATCTCTTTCCTGATTAGCTGTAGCTAAATTAGCCCCCATCATATTGTATGTATAGTTGGGGTTACTTTTTCCAATATGCATTACTTTACCTTTATCCACATTAAATTTTATTTGCCATTTTGTTGCCCAATCACTTAGTTTTGTGAGATCTTTTTGAAGTTTTCACATTAGGACAGCCAGAGAAAGAAGTCTACTTTACCATAAAGGACTCAATCACAGATCATACTAGTGACAGAGAGTAAGCCAGAGCAGATATCTGTAAGCACAGACCAGGGGGTGGAATAAAAGGATTTCTGTTGAGTCCTGGATGGAATAGCATGGATTCATTGTAAACAAGACAAACATTTTTAGTGTGTTAAGAAAATACTACTATTGCAGATTTTTTGATACAATGGAAATGTTTTTTTCCCACCTGTTCCTTGTTCTTAAAAAAGAACCCCCGCATTCAGACACATATGCTCGATCTTTTTTAAAAAAAAAAAAAAAAATTCGCCCTCAGGCAAAAACCAGACCTGCAAAGTTTCACCTTTAAGGTGAAAGTCTGAGGAAGTTACTGGAAAAGGGCCTTTTACAACAGAAATGCTTAGGCAACCTTAACTACAGAGGGCACAACAACTGTGCCCTGTATAAAGAAAATGCAGACAACAGTGAAATTGCTAACATTAACTGGACATACACATCCTCCAAATAAGGGATGCAGTGTATCCCAATGGACAGAGCACCAGATTAGGCCTCAGATGATCTGGGTTTTATCCCAAGCTGTGCCATTGACCACTGTGTGACCATGAGCAAGTAACTTCACTTCTCCCTGCCACAGGCACCAACTTTTCTTGGTGCCAGTGGGTGCTCGCACCCCCACGGCCCCAACTCCGCTCCATTCCTGCCCCTATTGAATCCCTCCCCATATCCCCACCCTGGCCCCGCCTCTTCCCCAAGTGTGCCTCGTTCCCTCTCCTCCCCTCTCCCTCCCAGGCTTGCCGTGTGAAACAGCTGTTTCGTGGCACAAGCACTGGAAGGGAGGCGGGAGAAGCAGGACGCGTTGGCTCGCTCAGGGGAGGAGGCGGAGGTGAGCTGGGGAGCTGCCGGTGGGTGCTCCGCACCCACCAATTTTTCCCTGTGGATGCTTCAGCCCCGGAGCACCCACGGAGTCGGCGCCTATTCTCCCTGCTTCAGCTTCCCCATCCATAAGATGGGGAGAATGATAATTATTTTCCTTTACAAAGTACCTTGAGATATACAGATGGAAAACATTATAAAAACTAAAGTTTAATACTACAATGAATATATGCTACAACAACACTGCAAACAACTATGCATATATGTTATTTCCAGACTTAATACTAATTTAATTAAATGTTTTGAAGTTTGAAAAAGTTTCAGTAACAAAAGAAATAATATAATAGAACAGTAATTTTAAGAACTCAGCCTAGAAATCCAGGAAATTTTAACTTTAAGAAATAACCCCAAGAGTGTGCCAGGAACTTACATTTTTTGACACTCCTTGCGCTCCCCCAACATGGGGTCCCCCATTTCTCCAAGAATAGTTGCTTCCACTTCATAATGAACAATAAGGGCCTTTTCAGAGGGGTGTACATCTATGTTACCTCCTTTCACCTTCCTGCAAGGCAGAAAAACAAATTCATCACTGACTAAATGAGAAGCCCAAGGAATATCTGGGAAAACAGGTCAATGTGAATTGGACATCTCTGATCAAGCAGTTTGTATGACTGAGACAGATTCTACCTACATAGCATAAACCCAGTCTTGGTACTCTTTGCATTAGCACATGGTCTCTCCCACGTTCCTTCAACTTACATACGAATCTTAGCACAAGAGGCATCTCTATGTCTATTGGCTCTAGTATGTGCCAGGGTGGCTAAAAATCAATGATTTAAAAAAAAATGGATTTTTTTATTTAAATCGGATTTTTTTGATAAAATGCTTTTTGAGGAAAAAACCTACCTAAAGATGGTTTTAATTAAGATACATTATAGCTCAAATATATCTCATCATGGAATAGGGATTATAAATTCTAATTCTATAGTATGAGACAATATATTCATGTAATCTTTAAGAAAAGTTTTGTAAATGAGTCCCAATAGTTCATGGATTAGGGACCCAACCTTCTGGGGTTCCAGGGGCTTCTGTATAGATTATTTAGGTTAATCTTTCTATCTACCCAATGGGACTCAGTGCTCAGTCTAGAAGATACCATCAGAGATGCTTAGTTTTGCAGTTCTCAAACTGTGGTTTTGTGTCTCCAGAGGTAACAGCAAAAATGTTTTTAAATAAATACATTATATATAGAGGTGAGAAATAACAGACCTCAACCCTATTCTCCCTTTGCAAATGTGTGTACACAGAGTCAATCCCTTACCTCTCTCTAAAAGTGCAAAATTTCAAAAAGTTCAATGAATAGAAGATTGTTTGGCGTGCAGTAGATCTGGACAAGGAGAAGAAGTCTGGAGATAAATGTGAGAAGGGAGGGACAGGCAGTAGAAACAAAAGTAAAACTGTTTGAGTAGCATATTCCAGAAGTCTTGAGGTCTTTCTGAGTGTAGCCTTCATTGATTTGAGATCTACCATACCATTCTCTCACTAGAAGGGAAAACCTATAATGGTAGCAGGCTGTAAAAGAGACCCAGTTTGGGAATATTTTAATGAAGTTCCCCTACTTGTGGGTAAGACAGGCATGCGTGCAAAATGCAAACAGTGCAACGAAGAAATGCAAGGCCTGGTTGCCCGAATGAAACAACATCCTGAGAAGTGTTCCTTCTCAGGAAGAAGCTGCGTTAAAGACGATGAAAGGAACATGTCTGAACATGCAGGATCTTCAGGTTGGTAAACTTTTTTATTTCATACTTTTCTTAAGGACTGCCTGTCTTCCTTCTGGACTATTCTTGAATTCTCATGTTTGAGCAAAAAATATAGTTGCTACTCTATGGTACTATCATTTTAGATGCAGTTGTGATAAAAAATGAATAGCTGAAATAGGCAGATCTTCATTTTACAATTTCACCTTTAAAGTAGTACTGAGTGTCAGTCAATGCAATGAGTAATACTAAATGAACAGTATGGTAATAATACTGAAATAACTGCACTGACTTATTTTGTTTAGGACAATCCATCCTCAACATACAGAATTCTGAAGACATTCCACTTTCAAGATCACCATCATTTTCTATAGTTTCAGAGTTATCTGCAAATGATAGTGTTTCAGTCACATCATGTATGTCACATAGCCACAGTATATCACCTGTAGTGAAAAGAAAAAAAATCTCCACCATCCAGAAACAACCATAGATAAATTTGTGATAAGAACCAGCAGATTACAAAAAGAGGTAATTGATGGAAAAAATTGCCCAGTTTGTTTATGCAACAAACTCTCCTTTCTGTATGATTGAGAACGCACACTTCATTAACATTGTTCAGTCATTAAAACCAGGATACAGTCCACCCAACAGAGCAGATGTCACAGGCAAATTGCTGGATAAAGTGTATGAAAGAGAAATTGAGCAGTGTGCAAAAGGTCTAGAGGGTAAAATTGTTAACCTGAGTCTTGACGGGTGGAGCAATGTCCACAATGATCCTGTTGTACGTGCTTGTGTGACAACAGAAGGGAATGTCTTCCTTACAGAAACAACTGATACATCAGGAAATGCACACACAGCAGAATACTTACAAGAAGTAGCAGTAAAAGCTATAACAAACTGAAAAAAAATTCAAATGTCTGGTATGCAGCTTGGTCACAGACAATGCTGCGAATATATCCAAGGTGAGAAGAAATTATTTAGGAGTCCCAAGCTAACAACATACAGTTGCAGTGCACATTTGATGCACCTCCTAGCCAAAGACTTCAATGTTCCAGAAATAAAGGCTAATGTTGTTGAAATTGCAAAACACTTCGGTAACAACCACTTTACAGCAGCTGCTCTGAAAAAAGTGGGAGGAACCAAGCTAACTCTCCCACAAGACGTGCGATAGAACTCAGTACTGGACTGTTTTGAGCACTATATCAAGAACTGGCCTAACCTGATGACAGTTTGTGAACAAAATCGTGAACAAATAGATGACACTGTCACAGCCAAAGTTCTCAACATTGGGCTTAAGAGAAATGTTGAACACATGCCGAGTACCCTGAAGCCCATTTCTGTAGCCTTGAATAAAATGCAGGGAAATAGCTGTTTTATTGCTGACGCTGTTGAAATTTGGAATGAACTGAATGAGATCTTAAAAAGAGAAATATGCAATGACAGAGTTAAATTACAGGCATTAAAAAAAAAGAATGGGACAAGCACTCTCTCCATCTCATTTTCTTGCAAATATTCTCAATACTCGGTACTAGGGTCAAACCTGAACTGCTGAAGAGGAGGAGTTGGCTAGGACGTGGACATCCAGCAATCTTCCCTCCATAATGCCAACTATAATAAACTTCAGAGCAAAGGGTGAACCATTCAAGAAATATATGTTTGCTGATGATGTTTTAAAGAAAGTCACACCAGTGAACTGATGGAAGTCACTTAAACACTTGGATTCAGAGACGATTGAAGTGATAATCTCACTTGTAACAGCAGTAGCTTCTTCTGCCAGTGTAAAAAGAATATTTTCTTCCTTTGGACTAATTCATTCCAAATTGAGAAATCGTTTGGGACCTGAAAAAGCAGGTAAGCTTGTTTTTCTTTTCCAGATTATGAACAAACAGGAAAATGAAGGTGAAGATGACTGAGTCAGCTGCAGAAGCCAATATTTTAAGTTTCTCATGTTGACCTGGCTGACATTAAATCGATTTAATTTTTGTTTTTTTAATTTCATTTAACTATTTTAGTTAAAAACAATTTTAACAAAAACAAACCTGACTTTAAAAAACTTGAATGTTTAACTAACTTCAAAAATTCATATGCTTGTTTTCTTAAAATATTATAAGTTTGCTGTTGAAGAAAAAAATCCAGAATACATAATGTTGTTGGTTTAGTTAAATAAAACAATTTAAATGTCTGTCTGGTGATGTTCTCCTCCTAATACAGCATGGCAAGAAAATCCTCCTAATATTAATGATTAACCTGTTGAATTGGACATAGTTTATCTCCCAATGACTTCACAAATATCTGCTTCAATTACCTTTGGTAAATGAAATAACCAAACAGTCATTCATTTTCTGATATAGCTGTAAAAGTAATCTGAAAAGTTTTCAAAAGAAATCACTTAAAAAATATACAGTGTGTACCTTCTAAAAATGAAACCTACATCTATCTCGGAGTTGTGAAGAATATGTATTGAGGTATAACATTGAATATGTATTGAGGTTATAACAACCAACAAGAATACACTTTTATGTAGAAATCCATTATTAAATCATGTCTTCCTGACTAGTGATTTAAATCATAATTTAAATGAAATCTACCTTGGTATGTCCAAAAATACCAAGAACGGTATCTCAGTTACAAGAGAAATTAAGTAATTAAGGAGAATGACTTTCAAAGCTCCTGCCTGCCTAGATAAAGCCTATACCAGGGGTCGGCAACCTATGGCACCTGAACCCAGGCTGGCTGCGGGCTGAGATAGGCCGGCGGCCGGGACCCTGGCAGGCAGCAGCATGCCATTAAAAATCTTGTCCACCCCAGCCTGCTCTTCTCCACCCCCCACGGGGGCAGGGTGAAGAAGCTGGGTCCTGCCGGCTGCTGCTGCAGCGCAAGCAAGGTCCCCTCTCCCCCGCCTTCTTCTGCAGTCCTGCTGGGTTCCTGCCCCTCCTCCTCTTCCAACCGATCAGCTGATTGCCCTTGCAAGGGAGGGGGAGAAGCCGAGCCGGAGGGAGAGGAGGTGAAAAAGAGGTGGGGACGGGGCCTTGGGAAAGGGGGGATGGAATCAGGGCATATCCCCTCCAGCCCCCTGCCGTGAGCCGCTCTGGGCAGGGGGCTGGGAGCACCCCCAGGACCCTAGCCCACACCCCCAGCCCTCTGTCCTGACCCATGCACCCCCCACAAACACCCCAGCCCTCTGCCCTGACCCCTGCACTCTCCTCAAGCACCCCAGCCCCCTGCACCCCCCTCACACACCCCCGCCCTCTGCCCTGACCCCTACACCCGCACACACACACACCCAGCCCTCTTCCCTTACCCTTACACATCCCAGCCTCCTGCCCTGATCCCTACATGCCACCACGACCCCAGCCCTGATTCCAGCACCCCTCACACACTCAGCTCCCCCACAGCCCATGCCCTGACTCTTGCATCCCGCACATTCCCACCACCACCCTGAGCACCAAACGGGAGCTCCTGCACTCCCGCCTCCCCACCACACACCCACTCCCACCTGCACCAAATGGGAGCTGCCCTAGTGAGCACTTCACACCCAAATCTTCTGCCCCAACCCTGAGCACCCTCCCTCATTCTAGCTCCTGGCCAGACCCTACACCCCAACCCCCAGCCTGATCCTTCACCCCCAGCTCTGTGCTCAGTGCACTCCCACCCTCAGCTCAGTGTAGAGAGAGAGGAAGAGAAGGGTCTAGAACCAGGGAGAAGGTAGATACCCACTCTATGCGGGCAGGGCCAGGATCCCAGACCAGCAGCGGGCTGAGCAGGGCTGGAAGCCGGGACCCTGGCTGGCAGGAGCCGGCGGACAGAACCCCAGACTGGCAGCAGGCTGAGTGGCAACGGGCTGAGCCGCTCAGCCCACTGCTGGTCTGGAGTCCCGGCCGTCAGCCCCGCTCAGCCCGCTGCTGGTCTGGGTTTCTGGCTGCCGGCCCCTTACCAGCTGGGGTCCCGGCCGCAGGCCCCACTCAGCCTGCTGCTGGCCTAGGTGAATGGAACACCAGGCTGGCAGCAGGCTGAACAGTCTGGCGGCATAAGATCAGCATTTTAATTTAATTTTAAATGAAGCTTCTTAAACATTTTGAAAACCTTGTTTACTTTACATACAACAATAGTTTAGTTATATAATATATAGACTTATAGAGAGAGACCTTCTAAAAAACGTTAAAATCTATTACTGGCACGCAAAACCTTAAATTAAAGTGAATAAATGAAGACTCAGCACACCACTTCTCAAAGGTTGCCGACCCCTGGCCTATACTATCCAAAACTAAGAGGGATCAATCATTGAATCGGAAAGATAAGCCTCTTATGGAAGTCATAGGCTCAGAAAAGGGGTTTAATTGCCTAAATATGCTCATGTTTTGAAAGTCTGCATTCCTAATCCTCAGCTTCCCCAGAGACTGATGCCATTAGCAATTAGCAGTTACTCATCTCTCTCTAAAGGAATCTTTCCCACAGATTCTGGTGATAGGATAAGAGATGTCTTAGGCCTTGTCTACACTACAATGTTTTGTCGACAAAACAGTGAACTGAAGCACTACCCCCACCCCCCCAAAAAAAACGAAAAAAAGAATGAAGAACTCCAACCAAGTTGTTTCTACAAGAACTCACAAATCCCTTCTGCTGGAGCACAGGCCTCTACCGTACCTATTTTTCCAGAGCCTGAAACTTCAGTGTCTCAGGATGATTTTGATGGTTTGTTACTGGGCTTGGCTGATTTTTAAAATTCACCACCACCATGAGATATAAATCAAGCAAGTCCAAACCTGTTTCAGTATATCTACAGATTTTTGGTAAGAGGCTATTTCAGGAAAGCTCTGTGAGCTTGATCTTATGAGAGACTAAGCATCCTCAGCTCCTGTTATAATCAGTGGGAACTGAGGGTGCTCAACACCTTAAGGTATTAGGGCTTGAGTGAGGGAGTTTGGGAGAGGAAGTGTAATTTGTGGGACTGCTTCACTCAAGGTCTACTTTTTGGAGGTTAGAAGTGTTGGGAACACTGGGGCATGGCCACTAGGTAACCCGAGGGGATGGAAGACCACGAGTGTCGATGAAGCCCCCTCGCACTAGGCCCCGGTGTCCTTGCCCCCCCCCCCCCTCCTGCCTGGAGGCACTCACAGCAGCTCTGCGTGCTAGGCCCAAGTGTCCTTGGCCCCCCCGCCTGGAGGCACACACAGCAGTTATGCTGAGAATCTGCAACAGTATGTTGCAGAGTCAGACTGCCTGAAACTAAGCAAGGCCAAACAGGGGAGATATGGAAGAACAATGCTGAATAAAGCAGCTTTATGTATAGTTTAACAAATGATACAGAGAATCAGGGAACTAGCTGGGAACTGGATTGGCTGGCTATATGGATACTTGGAGCAGCTTGCTATTGGATAAGTATGCTGGGAAAAAGGATGTATAAAAGCCTGTGTAACTTCCTGCTCTGTTGTACAGGATTTGAGATTCAAATCTCCCTGTACCTTTTTGAAGCTTCAAATAAACTTTTCTGCTTCTCCACCCCGTTGTGATTATTGGGTGTAGCACACCGGGTAACGAACCAACTCAAGCTGTTGTTCAGCCTCTCGGCACTGGGTGCCGGCAACAGAAGGAATTTGTAATAAGGCCTACCTAGTAGATTTGTTAAGGTTACTCAGGAAGCTTTAACTGTGTGTGTAACTAAAGATTGTATAGACATGCAATCTCACAAAATTTAAGGATAAAGGCCTTAGTAGTAGGATGACCGTCAAAGGAAGCCAGCTTTTTCATTTTCTTCCAAATCCATTTCCACCAGGCTTACATGCAGAGAAATTAATTAAATATTCTATGCAGAGTCAAAACTGTTTTAATTGTCAAACTTGGTAATATTTATGAATAGGTTGAAGAGCAAGCCTGCCCAAATTAGCTGAACCACAATGAGTTTTAGTACTGCCTTCAAGTTTTTTTCCTCATGGAACCTGCCTCTATGTAGGGTGGAATCATGGGTGAGCACAGGGCCTACTGTTGTGGAGATCCTCTGCTTTGCTTCCTTTGTGCCTTGGGAGGGGACCACATAATGGGTCACAGGCCATGATCTACTTATCAGGCTAGAGTAGCCTGTCTTCTGTGTCCTGGGGGCCATTTTCTTCCCCTTGCATGCAGACAGGCCCAATGTCCAACCAGCTACTCAGGCTCAACCACTGAGAGGGAAGTTGCTCTATCACCTGTACCTCAGTTTCCTCATCTCAAAGCCTAAACTTTGAGATATGCTTTGAGATTACAGCTGAAAAGCACTAAATAAGCTCTACACATTTCTTTGCATTTATCAACATTTACTATCCATGAGAACAAATGTAGTATATGGGTCTCCAGTGCCACAAAGGAAATGTTTTTGTTTTTTAAATAAATGAAACATTTCTAGTCTTATTAAGTTTTGCAACCATCCATCTACTTGAAAAAAAAATCTAAATGTTGGATGATTGTCAAGGCTTGAAGGACAGATTGTGCCAGGTTGCTGGTATGCAGCTATGCCATGCTGTCCCTTCACTTCGCTTGCCTGCTTGGTTCTTGAAATTGACAAGAATCTCTATGAAAGCTTAAAAGAGGAAAGTCCTGTCTACACACAAAACTTGCACCGATTTAGCTCTAGTGTCAACTGAATTAAGAGCATCCACATTGGGGTTTACCCTAGTTTAAATCCATTTTTTAAAATCTAATTTTATTAAACTGGTGCAACTTTTGTGCATATGCAAGGCTACAAATTCTTGTGATCCCCCTATACACTAACAACTTACAACAGTGAGCCAGACAGAATGTTGGGGTGGGAGTCTGCATGAAGAATGACAAGAGAAAAAGAAATCAGAGGAGAGCTATGCTTGCACATCTATCTGCCCAGAGCCATGACAAACAGGGCACTGGGTTTGTTTCAGCAGTTTCTCTAGAACACAAAAATTTAAAGTCTGCTGCTGAAAACACTGGAAAAAAAATTCCTCCAAGATCGCAAAAGTGGTCTGCATAGAATATACACATTAAGATAGATACTACTTTGAAGATGGCCATTGCAACTATAACACCAGATGACCACTCAGTTTTCAGCTATGATCATATCTTCAGAGCAGAATCAATGGCCATCAGAAATCATTGGTAGTTTTCAGTGCATTTTTAAAATCAAGGATCGTAATCATTTGACATATGCAAGTAAACAATCTAGGCAACGAGGGAGTGACAGAACTCTGCACATGACTGGGGTGTCCCAACATATCCAATCAAAACTCTGCAAAGGCTGCTGAACAGTGCAGAACACAAGCAGAAAGAGAGAGAGGGGGAGATCACCAGCAGCTCAGAAGGGCTTCAAAAAAAAAAATGATGGCTAATGAGAAAATCCAGAGTTACATAGCTAGGAAAAAATAATAAGGGCTCATGCTTATTGGGTAAACCAGCCACTAACTGACAGAGGTTAAGAAGAAACTTTCCCATGGGCAGAATATTCTATAACTGTTCTTGGGGCTGCTTGCATTTTCCTCTGAAGCAGCTGGTAACAGACATTGCTGAAAGACAGGATACTGGACTAGATGGACCCTAATCTCTAACTGGGGCAGCTTCATCATTAAACAATGGTGTCAGCAGATAATCATCCACTCATCACTCCATCCCTCCCAAAAAGCCCATCCATCCAATCCCTCAGATCCACCCTTCCCCACCAGAGCCCTTTCCTTTACCTACCTTGCTACTCTGACATCCCACCTGCTCAGTGATCTCCAGCAATCCCTCTTTATCTACACCTCACCCGTACAGTGCACACCCAGCTATACACTCCAAACACAACCGAACATCCCCCCACAACCCCAGCCATCCCTCCTATCCATCCCCACCCAACCCAACCTTGGCTCTTAACCCCAGCCATCCACCCCCCCACCCAACCTAACCTCCCCCCTTGACCCCACCCATCCAAACTGAACCTCCCCATAACCGCACCCATCCACCCCCACCCAACCCACCTCGACCCTTAACCCCAGCCATCCCTCCTATCCCCCGCCCCACCCAACCCGACCCCATCCCCCAAACCTCCTCCCCTAACCCCACCCATCTCCCAAATCCCACCCACCCCAAACCTCCTCCCCAACCCCACCCATCCCCCATCCAGACCCCATCCCCCCGAACCCCACCCGCCCCACTCGGGTGCTGCCCCGGCCTGCACAGCCCCCCGGCGCGGGGCGGGCGGTACCTCTTGAGGTATCTGGCGTCCTCCCCCTGCATAGTGCCGCGGGGGTGCCGGGCCGGGGGCGGCTCCGCAGCGGCCGCTGTTACCAGGGTGAGAGCAGCGCCAGCCCCGCCCGCACACAGTACCCAGCCCCTGCAGCTCTCCCTAGCGCGCAGGCGCAGCGAGACCACAGGCCGCGTCGTCGCTGTGGGACTGATTCCTCGCTACCTGTGCAGAACGAGATTGGAGGAGCGGGGCCTGCACATCTCCCCCTGGAGGCAGGGAGGAGACACTGATGGCCATCGCTGTCAAGGCCGGGCGAGCTCCCGAGCTGAGTCTGTGCAGCAGCTTCCCTGCCCCAGGGCCCCCCCCCAGGCTGCACCAGCCACAAGTTCCCCCTGTGGGTCAGGCAGGGGGCCAGCACATGACACAGCATCTGGGGGCAGAACTGGTGTGAACTGAAGACCAGTTCAGCTACCCTGGTTCTCGTCATAGGACTGACCTGGTGTGGAGGTAGGATGACCTGATGTCCCATTATTAGGGGCTTTGCCTTATATAGGCAACTAGACCCACCCCTGCCACCCAAAAAAGTGTCCCTGTTTTTCACACTCTATGTGGAGGCATCCTGACCTGTTTATACTGAACTGGTTTCAGTATAAACAGCCCAGGCCACCTTAAACTGCTTAGCACCAGACCCATGGCTGTGATCATGGCTGTGTAAGTTGCACCCGGTATGCCCAACCTCAAGCATCCAACAGTAATGAGTCAGGCACCAAAAAACTCATGATTGGCAAAAAAAATAATGAAAACAACAAGGAGTCCGGTGGCACCTTAAAGACTAACAGATTTATTTGGGCATAAACTTTCATGGGTAAAAAACCCACTTCTTCAGATGCATGGAAGAAGTGGGGTTTTTAACCCCAAAAGCTTATGCCCAAATAAATGTTAATCTTTAAGGTGCCACCAGCCTCATAGGAGAGTTGGCTGTATTTTAAAGAATCCTTATTGAGGTTACAGGGACAAACCATCCCGATGTGTAGAAAGAATAGTAAATATGGCAGGCGACCAGCTTGGCTTAACAGTGAAATCCTTGCTGATCTTAAATACAAAAAAGAAGCTTACAAGAAGTGGAAGATTGGACAAATGACCAGGGATGAGTATAAAAATATTGCTCGGGCATGCAGGAGTGAAATCAGGAAGGCCAAATCACACCTGGAGTTGCAGCTAGCAAGAGATGTTAAGAGTAACAAGAAGGGTTTCTTCAGGTATGTTAGCAACAAGAAGAAAGTCAAGGAAAGTGTGGGCCCCTTACTGAATGAGGGAGGCAACCTAGTGAGAGAGGATGTGGAAAAAGCTAATGTACTTAATGCTTTTTTTGCCTCTGTCTTCATGAACAAGGTCAGCTCCCAGACTGCTGCACTGGGCAGCACAGCATGGGGAGGAGGTGACCAGCCCTCTGTGGAGAAAGAAGTGGTTCGGGACTATTTAGAAAAGCTGGACATGCACAAGTCCATGGGGCCGGATGCATTGCATCCGAGAGTGTTAAAGGAGTTGGCGGATGTGATTGCAGAGCCATTGGCCATTATCTTTGAAAACTCATGGCGATCGAGGGGAAGTCCCGGACAACTGGAAAAAGGCTAATGTAGTGCCCATCTTTAAAAAGGGGAAGAAGGAGGATCCTGGGAACTACAGGCCAGTCAGCCTCACCTCAGTCCCTGGAAAAATCATGGAGCAGGTCCTCAAGGAATCAATCCTGAAGCACTTAGAGGAGAGGAAAGTGATCAGGAACAGTCAGCATGGATTCACCAAGGGCAAGTCATGCCTGACTAATCTAATTGCCTTCTATGATGAAATAACTGGTTCTGTGGATGAAGGGAAAGCAGTGGACGTGTTGTTCCTTGACTTTAGCAAAGCTTTTGACACTGTCTCCCACAGTATTCTTGCCAGCAAGTTAAAGAAGTATGGGCTGGACGAATGGACTATAAGGTGGATAGAAAGCTGGCTAGATTGTCGGGCTCAACGGGTAGTGATCAATGGCTCCATGTCTAGTTGGCAGCCGGTATCAAGTGGAGTGCCCCAAGGGTCGGTCCTGGGGCCGGTTTTGTTCAATATCTTCATAAATGATCTGGAGGATGGTATGGATTGCATCCTCAGCAAGTTTGCAGATGACCCTAAACTGGGAGGAGAGGTAGATACGCTGGAGGGTAGGGATAGGATACAGAGGGATCTAGACAAATTGGAGGATTGGGCCAAAAGAAATCTGATGAGGTTCAACAAGGACAAGTGCAGAGTCCTGCACTTAGGATGGAAAAATCCAATGCACCGCTACAGACTAGGGACCGAATGGCTAAGCAGCAGTTCTGCAGAAAAGGACCTGGGGGTTACAGTGGACGAGAAGTTGGATATGAGTCAACAGTGTGCCCTTGTTGCCAAGAAGGCCAATAGCATTTTGGGATGTATAAGTAGGGGCATTGCCAGCAGATCGAGGGACGTGATCGTTCCCCTCTATTCGACACTGGTGAGGCCTCATCTGGAGTACTGTGTCCAGTTTTGGGCCCCACACTACAAGAAGGATGTGGAAAAATTGGAAAGAGTCCAGCGGAGGGCAACAAAAATGATTAGGGGACTGGAACACATGACTTATGAGGAGAGGCTGAGGGAACTGGGGATGTTTAGTCTTCAGAAGAGAAGAATGAGGGGGGATTTGATAGCTGCTTTCAATTACCTGAAAGGGGGTTCCAGAGAGGATGGCTCTAGACTGTTCTCAGTGGTAGCAGATGACAGAACAAGGAGTAATGGTCTCAAGTTGCAGTGGGGGAGATTTAGGTTGGATATTAGGAAAAACTTTTTCACTAGGAGGGTGGTGAAACACTGGAATGCGTTAGCTAGGAAGGTGGTGGAATCTCCTTCCTTAGAAGTTTTTAAGGTCAAGCTTGACAAAGCCCTGGCTGGGATGATTTAACTGGGGATCAGTCCTGCTTTGAGCAGGGGGTTGGACTAGATGACCTCCTGAGGTCCCTTCCAACCCTGATATTCTATGATTCTATGATTCTATAACTCCATGGATGCTCCAGGGCTGGAGCACCCAGGGGGAAAAATTAGTGGGTGCTCTGCACCCACCAGCGGCCAAGCTCCCCTCCCCACCCCCCCACCTCACCTCCTCCCCAGAGGACGCCGTGTCCCCGCTCCTCTGCCTACCTCCCAGCGCTTCCTGCCGCAAAACTGGTGTTTGACAGCATAACAAGCTCCAGGAGGGAGGGACGCGCAGCGGTAACGCGGTGTGCTCAGGGGAAGAGGCGGGGCCAGGGCAGGGATTTGGGGAAGGAGTTGGAATGGGGGCAGGGCAGGGGTGGAGTTGGGGCAGGGCTGGGGCAGAGGGGGTTCAAGTACCCACCGGTGCCAGCAGAAGTTGGCGCCTATGACCGGACTCCTTGTTGTTTTTGTGGATACAGACTAACACGGCCCATCCCTCTGATACTTGACACCATGCAAGAAAAAAATCATGAGACTTTTCATAAATAATAAAGTTGGGGCTCTTTTTCTTTGCCTTTTTGTTTTGAGACTCTAGGTTACACTTGGGTCACATTTTCCAGCTTTTCTCCACAACCATGAGGGCTAGGGAGCATCTTTAAATGAAAACCGAGAGATTCTCATGCAATCGCTTGTCTCCAGGAACTAAGGCTTGAGGGAAAACACCAAATATTACAAGACTTGTGATGAAATTGTGAGAGTCAGCAACGCTGGGAGCCATTTTAAAAACTGCTTAGAAAACATCCCCATTGCAGACAGACCGCAGGGGCAAAGATGCTCGGACAAACACCTACTCTTCCTTGAAACACTAGGGTGTCTGCCAGATCTGCACCTCTCCAGATCCAGGTCTCCTACCTGCAGAGTAAAGTGAAGGAACTCAATTTATCTGCCTTGGATGGATGAAGGGCTGAGAAGAAGTCCTGGGCATTTAACCTGGTGATTTCAGCGAATCATAAGTAAAAAACCTGATATATCAGCCACTAAGCTACCATCTCTGATCTGTGCAGGCCTTCTTTTAAAAAATGCTCAGGGTGTAAATAAAAAATAATCCCAAACAACAAACAAATCACATTTGGGCTGAAATTTCCCACATTTATGCACAGTAAGGAAGAGAGTTTTGTGTGTTGCAGCAGTTTGGTAAAGTTTCCTTTGGGGATTATTGAAAGCTGCGTAGTATATTTTGTTCATTTGCATTCGGATAACTAAACTCTTGCAATTTTATCAAAAGTCTCACAATAGCTGGTGTTTTTCTTAAAGCCCCAGTTCCTGGATGCATGTAATTAGGTGAGACTTTCAGCTTTCACTTAAAAACAAAGTTTCTAGGTTGCAGAGAAAAGCTTGAAACTGTGATCTAAGGGCATCCTAAAGGCTCACAAACCTGTAGACAAAGAACTATATCTATCTATCTATATCACGATTTGTAAGCAAACTCAGGATTTTTGGGAGCCTGGTTCATGATCTTTGAACTGTTGTGATTGTAAGTACTGAAACAGGTTCATTTTAAAATCTCAGAAGCACAAATATATACATGTGCAAACATAGGCCTGATTTTGCAAAACCTATGCATGTGAGCAATTTTGATTTTTGGTAATTATGTACGTATCTCTCTTACAAATGGAAAACTGACATATAGTGAAGTGAGTTGCCAGTGGCCATCACATATGGTAAAACTTAGATTAGCACTCTGATATTGCTGGCTTCCAGCCCTATGCTCAGTCCACGAGGCCTTTCTGGCTCTCAATATAAAGAAATGCAACTGTTTTTAAATAGACAAAAAAATATGCACATTGCATGCACCATCTGCTTTCTCCTCCCTCACCCAGTGTTTATGATCTTCTTGTTTCTCAACCAGACTATTTTAAACAAGGCAATCCATACTATTTATATGCACTATTATTTGTTTTGTGGTAGCACCTAAGAGATCAGTCATAACCCAGGAACCCATTGTGCTAGGCACTGTATAAACACAGCACAGAAAGATGGGGACTGTAAACCCTAAAGAGCTTACAGTCTAAGAAAGCACCATATTCCAGTCTTAAATAAGAATGGCCAGACTGGGTCAGACCAATGGTCCATCTAGCCCAGTATCCTGTCTTTCGATAGTGGCCAATGCCAGGTGCTGCAGAGGGAATGAACAGAACAGGCAATCGAGTGATCCATTCCCCGTTATCCACTCCCAGCCTCTGGCGAACACCCAGAGCATGGTGTTGCAAAACATCTTGCAAAACATGTGGGCAACTTTACACAAACGAGGGCAGAATGTCGACAAATTTCCAAATGGGTAATTTGGCAAATACAATATTTTTGTTAATGTCAGCCCTTTTAGATTCTGCTCTGGCTTTGCCCATAACACATGGGGAAAGGTGCCAATATTCATTTCACAGTGCTAATAATAGAAGATACATTTGTTTGGGAGGGGCCAATGTAACCCCAGAAACCCAGCTGCCTTTTCAGCAGCAATTTGTGGGTCAGCAGCTAGTATTAATTCACTTTCTTTTATCAAAAACTGCATTTGGACTATTGCTCCCAATTTTGCTTTTACGCTGACAGGACCACAATTGCTGCTGGAAGTGCAGCCTGGCAGTTTAAAGCTATAACTTGTTCCTCCTTCACTTTTCCCCTCAACTCCCTTCATGCCCACATTGTAACTTATCACAGTTTCTCACGTCACAATTTCACATCCTGGGTGAAAGTATTCTTGCTGCGGGAAATCAGTGATGAGTCCCAGCTGTACGTCTTTGAGAGTGGGTTCACAACTGTGGCATCATGAAAAAGACGCAGCAGATCAAACAGAATCCAACTTTGGATAATCAGTATCCCCAGCCAGACTCTAATAAAGCCTGGTAGATTGTTAGCTGCATAATTCTAGGTCAGTGTTTTTCCTTCCAACAAAGAAAAATTAACCCCTCATTTTGCTTTAAGTCCAGTGCAGACTTACCAAAATTCACTGAGGGTATGTCTACACTACGAAATTAGGTCGAATTTATAGAAGTCGTTTTTTTAGAAATCGTTTTTATATATTCGAGTGTGTGTGTCCCCACAGAAAATGCTCTAAGTGCATTAACTCGGCGGTTAATGTGGTTAATGTGCATTAAGTGCTTCCACAGTACCGAGGCAAGCGTCAACTTCCGGAGTGTTACACTGTGGGTAGCTATCCCACAGTTCCCGCAGTCTCCGCTGCCCATTGGAATTCTGAGTTGAGATCCCAATGCCTGATGGGGCTAAAACATTGTCGCGGGTGGTTCTGGGTACATATCATCAGGCCCCCGTTCCCTCCCTCCCTCCGTGAAAGCAGGGGCAGACAATCGTTTTGTGCCTTTTTTCTTGAGTTACCTGTGCAGATGCCATACCACGGCAAGCATGGAGCCCGCTCAGCAAACCGTCACCGTAAGTCTCCTGGGTGCTGGCAGACATGGTACTGCATTGCTACACAGCAGCAGTTAATTGCCTTTTGGCAGCAGACAGTGCAGTATGACTGGTAGCCATCATCGACAAAGTCCTGGGTGCTCTTTTAATCGGGTGCCTGGGCAAACATGGGAGTGACTCAGTCAGGTCATTTCCCTTTTAAGTTTCGTCTCATGGCGATTCAGTCCTACCGGCAGTGCACTGTCTTTTAACCTCCAACCAGCAGAAGATGATGGCTAGTCGTCATACTGCACCGTCTTCTGCCGAGCACCCAGGAGATGATGACGGCTAGCGGTCATACTGCACAGTCTGCTGCCAGCAAGATGTATAAAGATAGATGAAGTGGCTCAAAACAAGAAATAGACCAGATTTGTTTTGTTTTCATTTTCTCCTCTTTCCCTCTGTGAAATCAACGGCCTTGAGGTTTTGAGTTCTATCCTTGAGGGGGCCATTCAGTTTCTCGCAAAGCCACCCCCTTTGTTGATTTTAATTCCCTGTAAGCCAACCCTGTAAGCCATGTCGTCAGTTGCCACTCCCTCCATCAGGGCAATGGCAGACAATCGTTCCGCACCTTTTTTCTGTGCAGATGCCATACCACGGCAAGCATGGAATCCGCTCAGATCACTTTGGCAATTAGGAGCACATTAAACACCACGCGCATTATCCAGCAGTATATGCAGCACCGGAACCTGGCAAAGCGATACGGGGCGAGTAGGCGACATCAGCGCAGTAACGTGAGTGATGAGGACATGGATACAGACTTCTCTCAAAGCACGGGCCCTGGCAATGCGGGCATCATGGTGCTAATGGGCCAGGTAAATGCGGTGGAACGCCGATTCTGGGCTCGGGAAACAAGCACAGACTGGTGGGACCACATAGTATTGCAGGTCTGGGATGATTCCCAGTGGTTGCGAAACTTTCGCATGCATAAGGGCACTTTTATGGAACTTTGTGACTTGCTTTCCCCTGCCCTGAGGCGCATGAATACCAAGATGAGAGCAGCCCTCACAGTTGAGAAGCAAGTGGCGATAGCCCTGTGGAAGCTTGCAACGCCAGACAGCTACTGGTCAGTCGGGAATCAATTTGGAGTGGGCAAATCTACTGTGGGGGCTGCTGTGATGCAAGTAGCCAACGCAATCAAAGATCTGCTGATATCAAGGGTAGTGACCCTGGGAAATGTGCAGGTCATAGTGGATGGCTTTGCTGCAATGGGATTCCCTAACTGCGGTGGGGCCATAGACGGAACCCATATCCCTATCTTGGCACCGGAGCACCAAGCCGGCGAGTACATAAACTGCAAGGGGTACTTTTCAATAGTGCTGCAAGGATTGGTGGATCACAAGGGACGTTTCACCAACATCAGCGTGGGATGGCCGGGAAAGGTACATGATGCTCGCATCTTCAGGAACTCTGGTCTGTTTCAAAAGCTGCAAGAAGCGACTTTATTCCCAGACCAGAAAATAACCGTTGGGGACGTTGAAATACCTATATGTATCCTTGGGGACCCAGCCTACCCCTTAATGCCATGGCTCAATGTCATAAATATAAAGGGAAGGGTAAACCCCTTTGAAATCCCTCCTGGCCAGGGGAAAGCTCCTCTCACCTGTAAAGGGTTAAGAAGCTAAAGGTAACCTCGCTGGCACCTGTCCAAAATGACCAATGAGGAGACAAGATACTTTCAAAAGCTGGGAGGAGGGAGAGAAACAGGGGGTCTCTGTCTGTCTATATGCTGTTTCTGCCGGGGATAGACCAGGAATGGAGTCTTAAAACTTTTAGTAAGTAATCTAGCTAGGTATGTGTTAGATTATGATTTCTTTAAATGGCTGAGAAAAGAATTGTGCTGAATAGAATAACTATTTCTGTCTGTGTACCTTTTTTGTAACTTAAGTTTTTGCCTAGAGGGATTCTCTGTGTTTTGAACCTAATTACCCTGTAAGGTATCTATCATCCTGATTTTACAGAGGTGATTTCTTTACTTCTATTTACTTCTATTTCTATTAAAAGTCTTCTTGTAAGAAAACTGAATGCTTTTTCATTGTTCTCAGATCCAAGGGTTTGGGTCTGTGGTCACCTATGCAAATTGGTGAGGCTTTTTATCCAACATTTCCCTGGAAAGGGGGGGTACAAGTGTTGGGAGGATTGTTCATTGTTCTTAAGATCCAAGGGTCTGGGTCTATAGTCACCTAGGCAAATTGGTGAGGCTTTTTACCAAACCTTGTCCAGAAAGTGGGCTGTAAGGTTTTGGGAAGTAATTTGGGGGGAAAGACGTGTCCAAACAGCTCTTCCCCAGTAACCAGTATTTGTTTGGTGGTGGTAGCGGCCAATCCAAGGACAAAGGGTGGAATATTTTGTACCTTGGGGAAGTTTTGACCTAAGCTGGTAAAGAAAAGCTTAGGAGGTTTTTCATGCAGGTCCCCACATCCATACCCTAGTGTTCAGAGTGGGGAAGGAACCTTGACACTCATGAAGCAATACACAGGCAGTCTGGACAGTAGTTAGGAGCTGTTCAACTACAGGCTGAGCAAGTGCAGAATGGTGGTAGAATGTGCATTTGGACATTTAAAAGCGCGCTGGCGCAGTTTACTGACTCGCTTAGACCTCAGCGAAACCAATATTCCCACTGTTATTACTGCTTGCTGTGCGCTCCACAATATCTGTGAGAGTAAGGGGAAGACATTTATGGCGGGGTGGGAGGTTGAGGAAAATCGCCTGGCTGCTGGTTTCGCACAGCCAGACACTAGGATGGTTAGAAGAGCACAGGAGGGCGCGGTGCGCATCAGAGAAGCTTTGAAAACCAGTTTCATGACTGGCCAGGCTACGGTGTGAAAGTTCTGTTTGTTTCTCCATGATGAAACGCACCGCCCCTTGGTTCACTCTACTTCCCTGTAAGCTAACCACCCTCCCCTCCTCCCTTCGATCACCGCTGTCAGAGGCAATAAAGTCATTGTTGCTTCACATTCCTGCATTCTTTATTCATTCATCACACAAATAGGAGGATAACTACCAAGGTAGCCCGGGAGGGGTGGTGGAGGAGAGAAGCACCAGGAGAGGTGGTGGAGGAGGGAAGGACAAGGCCACACAGCACTTTAAAAGTTTAAAACTTTAAAACTTATTGAGTGCCAGCCTTCTGTTGCTTGCGCAATCCTCTGGGGTGGAGTGGCTGGGTGGCCAGAGGCCCCCCCACCGCGTTCTTGGGCGTCTGGGTGAGGAGGCTATGGAAGTTGGGGAGGAGGGCGGTTGGTTACGCAGGGGCTGTAGCGGCGGTCTGTGCTCCTGCTGCCTTTCCTGCAGCTCAACCATACACTGGAGCATATTGGTTTGATCCTCCAGCAGCCTCAGCATTGAAGCCTGCCTCCTCTCATCACGCTGCCACCACATTTGAGCTTCAGCCCTCTCTTCAGCCTGCCACTTACTCTCTTCAGCCCGCCACCTCTCCTCCCAGTCATATTGTGCTTTCCTGCACTCTGACATTGTCTGCCTCCATGCAGTCGTCTGTGCTATGTCAGTGTGGGAGGACACCATGAGCTCAGAGAACATTTCATCACGAGTGCGTTTTTTTTGCCTTCTAATCTTCACTAGCCTCTGGGAAGGAGAAGATCCTGAGATCATTGAAACACATGCAGCTGGTGGAGAAAAAAAAAAGAGGCAGTGGTATTTAAAAAGACACATTTTCTAGAACAATGGCTACACTCTTTCAGGGTAAACCTTGCTGTTAACATTACATACACAGCGCATGTGCTTTCATTACAAGGTCGCATTTTGCCTCCCCCCACCACGTGGCTAGCCCCTCACCTCACCCCACCCTGTGGCTAACAGCGGGGAACATTTCTGTTCAGCCACAGGCAAACAGCCCAGCAGGAACGGGCACTTCTTCATGTCCCCTTAAGAAAAGCACCCTATTTCAACCAGGTGACCATGAATGATATCACTCTCCTGAGGATAACACAGAGAGATACAGAACGGATGTTGTTTGAATGCCAGCAAACATACACTGCAATGCTTTGTTGTACAATGATTCCCAAGTACGTGCTACTGGCCTGGTGTGGTAAAGTGTCCTACCATGGTGGACGGAATAAGGCTGCCCTCCCCAGAAATCTTTTGCAAAGGCTTTGGGAGTACATCCAGGAGAACCGCAAATGCCAGGGCAAATTAATCATTAAACATGCTTGTTTTTAAACCATGTATAGTATTTTAAAAGATACACTCACCAGAGGTCCCTTCTCTGCCTGTCAGGTCCGGGAGGCAGCCTTGGGTGGGTCTGGGGGGGACTGCCTCCAGGTCCAGGGTGAGAAACAGTTCCTGGCTGTCGGGAAAACCGGTTTCTCCACTTGCCTGCTGTGAGCTATCTTCCTCGTCCCCAAAACCTGCTTCTGTGTTGCCTCCATCTCCATTGAAGGAGTTAAACAACACGGCTGGGGTCGTGGTGGCTGAACCCCCTAAAATGGCATGCAGCTCATCATAGAAGCGGCATGTTTGGGGCTCTGACCCGCAGCGGCCGTTTGCCTCTCTGGTTTTCTGGTAGGCTTGCCTCAGCTCCTTAAGTTTCATGCGGCATTGCTTCGGGTCCCTGTTATGGACTCTGTCCTTCATGCCCTGGGAGATTTTGACAAATGTTTTGGCATTTCGAAAACTGGAACGGAGTTCTGATAGCACGGATTCCTCTCCCCATACAGCGATGAGATCCCATACCTCCCGTTCGGTCCATGCTGGAGCTCTTTTGTGATTCTGGGACTCCATCATGGTCACCTCTGCTGATGAGCTCTGCATGGTCACTTCTGCTGATGAGCTCTGGCCAGCGTGGCAAGCTGCAGGTTACCATGCAAACAGGAAATTGAAATTCAAAAGTTCACGGGCCTTTTCCTGTCTACCTGGCCAGTGCATCTAAGTTGAGAGTGCTGTCCAGAGCGGTCACAATAGAGCTCTCTGGGATAGCTCCCGGAGGCCAACACCGTCTAATTGCATCCACAGTACCCCAAAGTCGACCCGGCAAGGCCGATTTAAGCACTAATCCACTTGTCAGAGGTGAATTAAGGAAATCGATTTTAAGAGCCCTTTAAGTCGAAAAAAAGGGCTTCATCGTGTGGATGGGTGCAGGTTTACATCGATTTAACGCTGCTAAATTCGACCTAAACTCCTAGTGTAGACCAGGGCTGAGAAGGGTTAGGCTTTCAGTAATTATGACCCAACAAAACAGAAATGCCTCTTAAAAATAGCTATAAAATCAAGAGTTTCTGATTCAGTCTTCATCCCTTGCTACTGGCTGCAGCGTGTGGCTATGGTCTAGCAGCAATGCTATTGGACTCTGGTGTGAGCTGTGTCCTAGTCCGAATTCCTTCCGAGCCTCTTCTCACCAATAGTCTTGCCACAGCCTCCTCTACCTGTCCTATTGCCAAATATCTTCTCCTATACATCTCGGATTGTAAAGCCTTGTAAAAGTTATTGTATCTGGTTGGTATCCCTTTATCTAGTTTGGGAGCCCAGTAATAGGCCTTCCTGTGTTTTATTGCAGAAGCAACCACAACCCAACAGAGAAGCAGGGTATGCAGGTAACTAGATTTTGTATGTGTGTATATATTTAGAAAACTATGACTATTTGAAACCCAACTGTGTCCCTATGATTTCCTTGTATTCTTAATGTTGTGTAGAAAAGCAAAGGGCGTGTCTTGGTCTGTGTTGGTAAAGCACTATGTAAATTTATGCTGCTATTCCCTGTGAAACCTTGTCTCAGGGACCAACCAGGTTCCTTAGCTGGGGCGGTCTTCTAATAAACGTGGAGAAGAATCATGTATAGTTGTGTATACTGTGAGGTGCTGTCCACAGGCAGGAGATTGCCTAATAAGTATGATCTCTTGTACAGGTTTAATTGCAAAATTGATTAAAAACATACATAAATATAATTAATAAGTAACCAAAAATCTGCATAATGTAGAGGGCTAAAGATGGGAAGTATGAGTTAAAGAAGAGAAATGACAGGCACCCTTGGAGCTCTGAGAGGCTAAAAGGAACTTTGCTGATGGGGGAGAAATCCCATAAAACCACAAAGACCATAGGATTGCCATGCAGGATCATATTATTGGTCCATCCAGTCTGGAATCCTGCCTTCAGAAATGTTCTCCCCCCCCTGATGCTTCAGCGTAGCAGGAGTGAGCCAGCTTTATATATGTTTCCACCATGGCCATCCATTTAGCATTTCCCATAGGATTGGCTAGTGTTACCTGGTTACAATATTTGGGAGAGGATCCCGGATCTCTTCCTGTCCTGGTATTGCCCCCATTATGGCCAGTTGTGCTGTCATCTTTCTACCGCACCTTTCTCTTTAGCTCTCATTGCTGATCCCAGCCCTAAGACAGCCCGAGTCAAAAAGGCATCTTAAAGCAAAATTCTCTTCCTTGGTTACCAGCACCACTGCTCATACCCAGCACACAACTGGCTGAACTGTGACATCACTATGACTCACAGCAGTGGCTGCAAATCTCAGAAGAGTAGTGGGTAGGATGGGGAAAGCGGCACTGTGGAAGCAGATTCTGAATTTTCCATTTTCTCTCTATACCTTCCTCTTCCCAGCCAATCTATAGAACATCCATGCGGCATCATTTTTGGAATACAAATTTGAGTTACGTTGTTCTGATATGTCAGGAGACATTTTTAATGAGGATATCCTCATGGAAACTGCCTTTAACTGAGCTTTGTTCCTATCAGAATTGTTTTCAATCCAGTTCTGGGGATCCCTTTGAGTTATTCCATCCTTGTCTTTCATCTCTGTTAGAGATGGGCGTGTACCAAAGCTGGAATCCAGATCTGAACTTCGCAGCTCAGGCCCGTGCTGTGAGTATTGAGAATGTGTTGGAATTGTAACTACAATTTTAAAAGCAAGGGGTTTGCTGGTCCTGCTTCCTGGCTAGTCCAGGGACTCCATAGGGAAGCATGTGATCAGAGTGAGTCCAAAAAGACTCAGTCTGAAGCAAGGTGGAGTGAATTGTACCTTACTGCTGTAGGGAGCAGCCTGTTTTCTCTCTCGTTGTTTTGTGTTATCATTCTGAATTTTAAAAAATGAAGTAGTGTTACGTTGCAACCCTCCAGCAAGAGCATTTGATATTTTTATCTAACTTCTCTGTGCATATTCTGCAAACATAGCACATCCGTCCATCTATGGATTTTGTATTGCTGCCTATCATCTTACTGTCTGAGCACTTTCCATGTAAAATCCATTGCAATAGCAAAGTGTCTAGTCAGGGGTGAAAGTAACTTAAAGGACTTACCAGTACGTCGGAGTCCTGAGTGGGGGCGTGGCCTGAACCAGAAGAGGCAGGGCCTTTAAATCCCCAGTGGCAGGTGCACCAGGCCCTTTAAATCCCCGCTGGAGCCCAGCTGCCATACAGGCTTTCTTTCACCTCTGTGTCTAGTGGACTGCATGGAGTCTCTAGCCTTTCTGCCTTTCCCAGGTAGAAACCCCATTCAGAGTAGGATTTTTATTTCAGATTGGTTCTTAAAAATGTTATTAATTTACTCTTATTGGGGATTTTTGGAGGCAATTCATGGCAGGGTTTGTTTGTTTTTTTTCAGTTGACTGGGGCTTGGTGGCAGAAGAGGGTGCCAGGCTGTGGTATCTATAAGAAAAGTAACAAATGTATAAAGTCCCAAACCTGCAAAACAAATTAAGTGGTGTCTGTGCAGTTCTTGTTGCAGTATCAGGGCCTCAACTGATAGACCTGGAACAAGCAAATAACTGGAAATAATATTCACACAGAGTCAAGTAGTTAATACAGAAATAGATAACAGGCATAGACATTTGATCTTTTAGTAGCAGGATATTAAGAATAAAAACAGAACATCTAACAATATCATAGAACATTACAGCTTTTTCACTTTTCATTATTTATTCCTTCAGATTTATAAAAATATCTATTAGCATCCATCCTCATTCCCTTCTCTTCTCTCACATGTCCCATTAATGAGAATGCACCATATGATATAAAGGACTATCTTTGAACACCCAGCTTATAAGCTTTGTCAGAACAAAATGTTGTTTTGTTATCGTCATTCTCTTTAGCACAGTAAAATTTTCAGTTATCTTCTATTGGGGGGCAAAGTAAATTGTGTGTGAATACATGTTCAAACCTAGGTTTGTTCAGTCGGTCTCAGTGATTGCAAACAAGGGCTAGGATTTTTCAAAAGCGGGAGCCTAACATTAGGCTCCTAGGCAGCTAAATAAGTCTTTAAATAAGCCTCTTTTTCCGAAGTGCTGAGCGCTCCAATTTCCCTCAATTTCAGTAGGAACTGTGGGACGTTCAGTGTTTTTGAAAAAAGGGCCATTTTTCCAGGTGCTTAAATATGGACACAGGAGGCTAATTTTAGGCACTCGTTTAAAAAAAACTGGCCAAAGATTTTAGGACTTGGAAGATGTAAAATGGTATGAAATGTGAGAAATGCAAGAGAAAGAAAATCCTAAAGGCGATCGGTAACAGCAGTATTGCAATGCAAGTACATCATCATGCAGGGGCTAAAGCACGATACTTGCCATCTTGTGTGACAGGGGCTGTAAGGGCAATGAGCCTATCTCAGCCTGACAGAGTCGAGAATAAAATGACCTTAGCTTTGCCCTGTTTGTAGCATTTGAGCCACAAGTGGTGCTAGAAACAGATAATCCTCTCCCCGTGAATCAGATGATATTGGGTTTGGATGACCACACTGCGCAAACACCAGAAACCTTACCTTGTGTGGCGAGTTCTTTAACAATCACGCTGCCAGGCAACTGCTGCACCAGCGCTAGTTGCACAGGCATTCTCTTGATTATTCATGCTGCATTATATGGTCCTGGCTGCTCTGTTCGTTCTGGTGTGATTTCATTCAGTTCATGGTGTATATCAACGGCATACACAAGGACATATGAAGCTGGATGAGTGAAATCTAAGGCAGAGCTGGCTGCAAAGCAGAGATGCTGCATACCAGAGGTGTATCTCAATCAACATGCTCTTTGAAGGCCTGTGTTTTTTAAGATTTCAGGCCAGCTGGTTGTAAGTATACACTGTGTTTGAAGGCAGCTAAAAGAAAGGAGTTATGAATGGGAGAAAACAGAGCAGAGTGGGAAAGAGGGTGAGCATTATTGAAAGGAATAAGGCAGGAAAGGAGGGAGAGAATTTAAAGTGGAAGGAAATGTTATGAGGGATGTATGGAGATGGAGAAATAAAAAGATGTGCAATGGGATGAAAGAGACTGGGAGAAAAGCAAGAACTGAAGAGTGATCTTGAATTAAGACAGGAGCTAGACAAGAATCCCTAAACCAACTACAGTTACAGATTATAGGTTAAGTGTGCTGTATGTAGCATTGATCTGTTTTCTATTTGTAATATATACTGCTCCTTTAAACAGAGGGAAGTCCCTCATTCTAATTGCAGAGGCAGCTGCCATTTTTGTTCAGAACATGGCTGGTCGAAATGTTTTTGCTGAAACTTGTTTCCCCCCCAATGAAAAATAGCTTTTTGATCAAAATGAAAATTTTGTTTTGGTAAAAATGTTACGATTTTAGAGTGGAAAAACATCTTTTATTTCTCCTTCCTTGTTTTCTTTCCTTCATCCCCACTTTTCCAGTGGCAGAAATAAAGGCAAGAGGAAGGATAAAAGGGAGAGCAAGTTGGCAGGGAAATGAGCCAATCTATTTTTTTGGTTTTCAAAAACTGAAAACCAAAATTTCTTTGGGTTTCATGTAATCAAAAGACCAAAAGCTTGCACCAAACTTTCAAACAAAGTGAAAATTTTTCATCCCGTTTGAAATTTTTCATTGAAAACATAGAATTTCTCAGCCAACTCTTGCTCAGACACAGTCTGCTGCAGGGAAGACACACACTGTGCTCTCTCATGGAGACTTTATTTTTGTTCTTTTTTGTTTTGTTGTTCTTTTCATGTGAAACAAAAGTCATCCTGACTGAAAGGATATGGATGCCCTCTGGGCATAATCCAAAGCCCATTGAAGTCAATAGGAATCTTTCTGTGAATGTCAGTGACCCCTGAAGTATGAAAAAACATGGCAATAAGTGCTAGGACTGTGATTGCCTACTGAAGATATTTTGGGATCTGATTTGCTTCAGTGCCTGACTGAATCCCTTAGTTATTTCAGGATCATAATTAAAAATAAACTAAACCAACCCATCAGCATTGCTTTTATCCAGAAAATAAAACTATTATAAATTTAATAGATTATTTTTTATCTTGTCGGATGGAAAAAGTCTGAGACTTATAGTCTCCACTTCTAAGATCTCTTCCTCTGTACCGATTTCTGCACGGTAAATCCAGGGTCTATCTCTTAAGGAAATAAGTGGCTGCATGTCTTTTCTATGATCCTCTTTTATATCAACTGTCTATATAAAAATCCTCATGGAACCTTATTAGCTAAAATAAAATAATGCCACTTGATAAGGTGACTGACTAAACATAAGGGATTACACCAGGCCAGTCATTGGGGCAGAATTCTTGGTGTTCTCATGTGCACTCTCATCTTTACTGATTGGGTAGTAAATGCTCAGCTTAAATATTTATACTAGAAGGAAGAAGTGAGAAAAGATGAAGCAAAATCTGATACACTAAGGGAAGGTCTTGCCTTGATGAAGTTAATCTTGGTAGACAGATCAGGAATGTAGCTGAATGCTTTTTCAGTCAGCAATGATTGCTACATCTGAACAGGAGAAGGGTGTTTTCAATGTCACGTGGTCACAGTGATAGCCACTGGCAGCTCCTGGTGTCCTTGAGAGGAACCAATGCTCAGAAGTGGCGTTTTGCTTCATAAAACCCATAGAGGAGTTTCTATGGGAGCAGGACTTGAACTACTTTATGGGGCCAATTTGGCACTGGCCTGAGAAAGCATACCTCCATTGACATCTATGGAATTGCTACTACTTACACCAGAATTTTAGCAGTAGGTTATTTCATACTTAAAAACAGAGGTTAAAGAAGTGAAAAGAAACAGAGTTCTCACACCCTGAAGCAAGATTTTGTTCTCAATAGTGACTATATAAAAAAGAGCATCTTTTTCTTCAGCAAAATCTGTTCCCCCTGTGTATTTGAAGTCAGATCTGCTGACTTCAGTGACAACCCTTCTGACCTGTTAGCCCAGCCAAGCCAACATTACTAGTGGGATGTGAGCTGGATTTTCTTCCTTCTTGTGCCTCACCAGGACAATTGTTGTTTATTAAATTCTAACCCATTATGGCTGTAAATTACCCACTGATGGCCGCAAGACTGCCATGAGGTGTCAGGGAAGGCAGAGTTTGGTCTGTAGCAACAATATGGGTGAAAGAATCTGATGAGACCGAAACCCAGGCTGAGTTTTCAGCGTTGGCAGTTAGGAAGAAATATCTGTGTCCTTATAAAACTGAGCAATGTTGATAGGAAGAAGAGCTCCATGTCTGCTTGAAAGCTTGTCTCGCTCATCAACAGAAACTGGGGCAATAAAAGATACTACCTCACCCACCTTGTCTTGCCAGTGTTGATAAAGGCAGCATTGAGAAACAATAAACAGATAACTACACAAAGCCCTTTTTACAGACTCACTTTTGAGGGTAGAACTAAACTTTAAGAAGGAATTGTCATACTGTGAGAAATTTCCAGACATAGCAGACTTTGGGCCCAAATCTCCTCTTGCTTATCCAGAGTAATTCCCCTGAAGTCGATGGTGGTACACTGGTATAAAGCCAGGGTGAATGAGAGAAGAACCAGATCTTTTAAATAAAAGTCCTTTCCCTTAAGAGAGGTTCCCACAAGCAATGGGTTGTTCATTTTCAGTATGTTCTCTGGCAGTGCAATACAATGCTTGCATCTCATTTGTGTTAGTTTTCTCACTCGGAACAATGTGCCATGCAATATGTTTTTGTTACCCAAAGAACAAAAATGTACTTTCTGTCTAGATTAATTTTATATTAGATTAAGGGAAATGTAGAAATATCAAATATCAAATACAAAATGAAATGGCTATAAGAGAGTCTCTCTTCTTCCGAAACATCATCTCATAGCCCTGGGCCTTCATAGACAAGGAGGTAGACTTAATGGGCCACTTTCTTCAATGGACTCAGTATTTCGCCTCATATCTAAAGAGACAGTATGCAGAAAACAGATGCATAGCCACAAAGGCCATGACATTTCATGGCCCTGAACCTGCAAAAGTTAAGCACGTGTGTGTTTGCAGGAATGGGGTCTGTTCCCTCTACTCAAACCTAAGGCTGATCATAAAATGGGATCTCCTTTCCACAAAAAATTTCAAATGAAGTGAACATTTTTTGTTTTATTAAAATCTCTTCCCGCCACCCCCGCATTTTCTGAGTTATTGATTAAATAATTTAAAATCAAACTTTTCCTTTTAAGAAGGAAGAAACAGGGAGAGTAAGGTTGGGAAGACCTCCCAAACCAAAATGGCGATGCTTTGATTTCACTCAATTTTAATCTAACCACAATTGTTTGTTGTTTCAGATCCATTCAAAATGAAATTTTTATTGTTGAATAATTTAATCTAAAAAAAATCGGAAAATTTAGAATATGATTTTTTTTCACAGAAATGTTCATGTTGTTCAAAAGGACGTTCTTCATAAAAAAAACCAACAGCACGAAAATTCTTCATTGAGCCCTGCCTAATGCCAGACCTGTTCATTTGGGGCTGAAGTCTGTTCTCGATGCAGTCAATGGCAATCTTGCCTTTTATTCCCATCTCTTAACAATGGCACATTAGAAACCTAGCAGAAAAAGGCACAATGAGATCCAATGGTTGGAAACATCAGCTAGATCAATTCAGACTAATTACTGGAACAACTCCTCTTGGGATGTGGTGGATTCTCCACCTCTTGTAGTCTTTAAACCAGGACTGGATCTCTTTCTAAAAGAGATGCTGTAGCTAAAACAGCAGTTATGGACATGATGGAGAGTTACTGGGTGAGGTTCTCTGGCCTGCATTACGCAGGAGGTCAGACTAGGTAACAACAGCGGTCCCTTCTGGTTTTACAATCTCTGACCCGGTGGAAGAAATCTGAGACAAGAGTGAGGAAGAGGAGGGTACTACAGACACCTGTCATGCTTTTATTCTTCTGTTGCTTTGTTCTGGCCAGTCCAATGGTGAGCATATAATGGTGGTAAGGGCACAATGGTGGTGGGAAGGACAAGTGTAGCAGTGATGGTGACAAGGATGAAGGTGGGGTTGTTGACAACAAGGTTGGTGCTGCTAAGGACGAGAAAGGTGCTTAGGAGGAAGCAGAATGTGGTGATGGTATGAATGAGGATATTGGCCATGAGGCAGTGACAGGGAAGGCTGAGTACAATGGTGGTTAAGGTGATAGTGAGCAGGAGGATGCAGCTGAAGAAATGTGGTGGTGAAGATAATGGTGGGGATGAAGTGAAAGGAGCCTCACACAGTATATTTCTTCACTATTCCAGGGGAGTTTTTCTGGGATCAAGGCCCATATTCTCCTATTCCTTACACCAAGTGAAGCCAATAAAGATAGATCTATCAGTGTCAGTGAGAGAGGAATCACTGATCTTACCTATACCACCGCAGGCGAATGCTTGGACCTGAAAGTTCAGCTCTTGCCATGACCATTCCTTGTGTGCTACCATGTTATAATAACAAAAATTATACTGCTCCGTGAAGTTGTGTGTTGAAAAAATGATCCTCATGTTTTCCCCTAATTCAGTTACCATCTGTGAATTGTTTGGGTACTTCCCCTCTTTTAGCCTTTCCTGTTTAATTTTAACAGCTACATATGCCTCCTGTTTGGTACTTCTCCTCCTAGACATATATCTGTATAGGCATAGACATATATGTGCCTACAGTAGCTCATCTTCCGCACTAATGGGCACACCAGCCACATACACAACTGTGTGCCTGTCTTCACACACCAGTGAACATGAGACAGCTACCCGCACACATGTACCCCATACATCCACATTAAAGCACACACATACTAAAGTTGGAGTTTGATTTGACAAAGGCCTTTTCATCTATACAGCACATCTCATCCTTGGATCTCTAATTTTAGAGGCAACATCAAACTCTGTCCTTCCTTCACCCAG